ATTCTGGACGGTCTGGACTGGTGAATGTTTTTTTCTTAACTTAAAACACACAAGCGAACGCCTAATGCACAACTGAAAATATTTTTAAGTATGCCAATATTCATACCAACAAACTTAACGGATATTGCTTAAATCGATACGCAGCTTTCCTTTAAAATTTTGAATGTCTCTATCAAAAGTTTTACAAATTCCTACATTTAACATTTAATAGTAACATATTTTTAGCAAACCAGAAACATCTACAAATATGTACTTATTTCTAATATTTTCGAAATGATATAATGTTATAATAGGTTGAAACATAAATTTTTATTTGATTTATTTTTATCGTGTTCAGGAAAATATTAAACATGGTTGAATAAATGAAAAGGCTTGACACAGATGGTTTCTGACCCCACAATTTCGTTAAAAATGTATGGCTCACAAGCCAGTAATTATGTATCTGTTTACTGTTGACAAAAGTCTTCTTGTATGTTTTTCATCATTTTTATTCCTTGGTGAACATGTAAATGTCGTACGCCGAGTAATAAGGTCGATTATTATAGGACGCGGCGGTAAAAATAAAAATTAGAATATAACGGATGATATGTGTTGTTTTTTTGAATAAATCAGTTTACTGATATAATCATAGTAGTTTATTAATATGCGAACATGGACGTTAAATGTCTTGAGCAGCCACCTTCTTCAAGGTATACAAATTGAACTATATCAAATTATAACATTGTTTTATGATTTGAATATCGTTGCTCAATCCTTGTAGTTTCCCCAAAATTTAATTCGATATGTATGTATTATACTACTATGGCTCTGCGTACATATAATACGAGTACGCAATTACAACACATGAAATGATATGATGTGATGATGAAGTTGGTTGCATTGGATAACTCAAACATTATACTGTTTTTTGCTTATGTTCGTAGTTCGGTTATATCACTTATCATGAAAATATAAATATTTTTATGTTAAGAGGTTTACTTCGAACGTTAATAAGCCTCTAATTATATCTGCACGAATACCGTAGTGGTTTATGCGGTCACCTCTCCGCTTCCTACTGCGCTGCGTGTTGTGGGTTCGATCCCCACATGGGAAAACGCTTTGTGTAATCCAAAAATTACTGTACCTACAAAGACATTATGTCTTTCTCATGTATGTATGTAAAGTCTCCCGCTACACAGGATATATTCCTAGCGTGGGAGCTGTTACTTAAACGTTTTTTACAAATCAGTTCATTTATATTATATATTTGTTAAGTTTATTAGTGTTTGTCTATTATTTTATGTGCAAAAATATTTTTCTTTGTTATAGGTCGGTCATGAAAAATCCTGGCCATTTGCTGGCTGTCCCTATCAGCGAACACGTGGTAACTTTCATCTCTCTAGTAGCCGCGGTCACACTGCTCTCGCGGACGACAGGTTAGTTACTGCAGCAATATTACCTAATCGTTTAGGTTGTTCAACAAATAAGTACGGAAACATGGAATAAACACGAATGCGATTTGCTGTTTGTTTAATGTTTTAATTAGAACATCCGTGGCCTAAACTCTATACAACTAGGTGGTTAAATAAAGTCTACATTTAAATATTAACTGTAGATTTCATAAAACTAAGCATCAAGAAACCTTGAGAAACATTTCAAAGTACTTCTTCTACAGTTTAAGTGTATTTGCTTCATAAACATAATAAATAAATTTATATAATAAATAATTAATATAATAAATAATTATTATAATATATAATTTATATAATAAATAATTATTTTATTTATTTTAATAATAAATTTATTTTATACTTGTATCTACTTAGTCTAGAATTAAGATGTTATGGTTATCAAAACTTAAGCCTCAAATCTAGATTTGAGGCTTAAGTTTTGATAACCATAACCATAACCATGCCTAGGGAGGCAAACCGGGGCACTAGTCCCGGGCGACAGTTTCAGGAGGCGCCAAAATCAAAATATATTACATACACACAAAGCGCCTAGTTCGTATGCTGGTTGGCTCACCGTCGACTTGCAAGAAAAACGGCGCCACTCAGGCCCAGACTACAAGTGAGCTTATATACTTGTGAGCTTTTTAAGTAATATATCTTAAACACTGGAGAGAGGGGCGCCACTATCAAGTATCTGCCCCGGTTCGAAAAAAGTATAGATCGGGGCTGCAAAACTTATGATCAAAGTTGGCCCGTAAATAACGCAAACTTCTCCTTTTTCCACCTTTTTCAAAGACAAAAAAAATCTTAAAAATCAAATCTCTTAACAATTAAAGGTTTAATTTATGGAACACGTGGAACCTTTAATATCTTGATAATACATTAATTATTGAATCTTGTTTACTCGATTTCACGATTCTTTGACAAAAATAAGACATTAAATGCTTTTCTGGGTGGAGAGTTATCTCTCTTCGACTTTCGTCTTTCAATATAAAAACAAAATTGATTTCTTCAGAGAACGGATGTGTAACGGAAACTGCCACATTTACGGTTACCAATTAAAATAGGAAACTAAAACATTAAGATTGATAATTATAACTAACATTAAAAAAAAATGTCAAAGAAAAATAAAATTGTCTTGTGCTCATTATTTTTCACGTCTTGTTAAAATTAAAATATGTATAAAAATCATTCAATTTATATATATTTTCATGATCAACAAGAAATTTTGTATAGTCGTTGCAAAGGATACAGAAAAACTGGTTTCTAATAAACAAAGATAACATCTGTCGAAAATCTAAGGATTCCAATACAGATTATAGCTGCAAACACAGAAAACAACATTGAACACTTTTGTTTGGTCTCCAGAAGGGCGGTCCGCCCGTAGGTGGTTGGCGGGAGAACGCGGGCGTGGAGCGTGCGGCCGCGCTCATTTCCCGCACCACACGCACCCGCCCATTCACTGTTAGCAGGTAAATATCTACCATTCATTCACGTTCAATACATTATCTTCATAAAAGGAAAATTCCGTCAATAATTGCAAACAAAGGACTTTTTTTTCTTCTATATGGCCAAAGCAGTCGCATACTAAAACATGTCAGTACGTTCTCGTCCTAATTAAATATTGTTTGTAATATAAGTTCTAGAATGCAAATAAAGAAAAACAAGTCAACATTCATGCTTACAAAAATTTGCCATGTCAAGGTCGCTGATGACCCTCTGATGATATACCAGAGGGTATTTGCAGTCGAATGTACTACTGCAGCAACAACGTCATCGACTTTACTCAGTCGCTTTATTGTAATAAGCAATAGAATTAGAACAAAGAAAATTTCAAATATTCTATAGGTAAAGGTGGCACTACGAGTGCGCAGTGCGTGTAACAAATTTCGCCTCCCGCATTGCGTATTTGCCTTGGGGAAAAACTGGATAAGTTTTAAAGAAACGCTTAAACTTTGTAATATACACTTTATATTATGTACCAGAAATATGGTTAATGGAGTACGTATCAATAATAATAAATTATATTTGTATAGTCTTTATTAGTGCAATATGTATATTTTCGTAATAACCTTTAATCTGTGTCGGAAAGAGATCACTTTTAGCGTTTAGGTCCGTCCTTTGTAGCTAATATTAACGATAATATTTAAGATTCATTATAGTCGGTATAGTCCGTACCATAAAGAATTTTCTACTCTATTTGTCATGTGATATGGAGTAGCCAATGGGTTAATTTACTCGACGCACAAAAGGCAGTGGCTATATTAATCCTATAATTGTCCCGAAAGTGATAAAGAAATGGAATAAAAATATGTTACGTCCGTAACGCACAATATAAAGGCTGTCCTTGTCCCAGTTCTGGAAGCACAAACACTGTCTTATACTACCCGAGGCAGTGTGCGTCGGAAAATATATTGTTCATATAATCCAACATTCTTTCTACTAGGTATTTATGTGAAAGGGGCATACTATGTATAACATTTGGCAAATAATAATAGATTCAATGAACTGTCATAAAATAAAAGAAAAACGGCCACTGGCATTTTTAATAAATAATTAGGTCTTAATCCCGTTCTTTACTAAACAACAAGATACTATTTTAAAAGTATTAATATCTGTATAAATAATACTTCAATGGTGTACAATAAAGAGATAAATAAATAAAATAAATTATTTCAAAAAACGTAATAGCCAGTGTCGCTCGAGATAATTAAAGGATTAAAGGATCACATGCATTCATACATTCATTGTTGATGTATATCAACATACTAGTACATATTGAATCTATTAACATATATAAGAATCTTGAGAACAATACACTTTTTTAATGTGAATTGAGAATAAACTCCGCACAAAATATTTGGTTCGACAAACGAAAGCAACGTTATCGGCTTTTGTAAAATAACTCGGATTGAAATGAAAACATTTCTACTGCGTTAAATTGTTAATATTAAAAAAAAAACGGCAATTTGTAATAAAAAAATATTTAAAAGTGGAATTATTCATTTTGTCGGTATCGGACCGACTTGAGCCACATAACTTTTTTGGTATACGGAAGAAGATATTTTAAGGATATTATATTCAATTATTGTCATAATATTTGTCATACCTAAAACGCCATTATCTCTTCTCATTTCATGTGTATTTAATCGCATTTGTAATGTTTTGTAGGAAAATTCTAAGTAAGCAAGAATCGTAGAGTCGGATCCCAAACGAATGCCAAAACATTAGAATAGTGATTCCGTTACTATTCAGAAATATGTTGTATTAAGTACATATGCTTTGTGCATAGATCATCCCCCGGCAGACACCGTCATGTACTCAATCTATCCAAGTCCTATAATCTTCACAATAGCTACCAAATCAAATAGTTTGCTTGGGTTGATGCCAGCTGGTGATTCACGATTGGCATGAATTCGACACCATATCCATATTATATTTTATTTATGTAATGAAACAGCCATGTAAAATACAACGAGGAAGATGACCCTGAATCACTAAATATTTATTTTACCAATATTGTTTTTCAAAATGCAGTAGGCAGTTTACTCGGGGGGAGTTCGATAGACAATGTCCGAGGACTTGGACTCGATCAGCGAGGAAGAACGAAGCTTGTTCCGACCCTTCACAAGAGAGTCACTGGCCGCTATCGAAGCCCGCATAGCTGAGGAGCATGCCAAGCAAAAGGAACTCGAGAAAAAACGAGCGGAAGGCGAGGTAAGTGACACAAACCAATATAAACTATAATATATGTGTGTAGAGTGATAAACAATTAAAAAAAAACTCAAAACATCATTAGGACAAAACCTATCAAGTTTGACACAAGTATTTAAAAATATTAGCTAGTACACGAAGTTTTCACTGATAATATTTGTGTGTGGCACATACAAGGAAACAACTAACAAAGCTCTCTGACGGATAATTTTTAAATTATTCCAGAACGATTTGGGGCGGACGAAAAAGAAAAAAGAAGTAAGAATGCTTGCTTGCCCCTTTTACCTTTTTACGGCTCGTTTTTATTAGAGAAAATTTTTATTGCTTTCACAAACGAAATTTATTTCAACATAAGATATTGCAAGCTCCCACTACATCGCCGCCACATTAGTTCAAGTGCGATAACTTGTAATTTATGCATATTAATCGCATTAAAAGCATTTTTCCTTAAACACATCGCTTTGTCAGCAAAGTAATGTATGACGGACGGTGTGTCCAAGTTTAGCTGTTACCTGAGAATCATGTCCCAATACTGTTCGTAACAGCTAACCTTACTGTAGAACCACGAAGGCTTATCACATTTATTTGCATATATCGACAAACTAAATGTTGAACAGAGTCTCCACCACTCTTTGGCCAATAGAGTAATTGAAATACGTTTATCAAATTGTAGCTCCTGCTGTTAAAACATCCATTTCCTATAGTGATTAATGAAAATATAACTCCCCTGTGTAACTATAGTAGCCTTTAGCCAACCTTGAATCCGGTCATAGAAAGAGTGAACATTAATTTATGTAGGCAATGCCCTTTAAAATCCAAAATAACTTTCAATAGGAAATTATCGATCTGTGAGTCCTATTCAATAGACAGATGACTTGTATGAAATCGTGTAAACTCAAGTTTCGAGCGGTAGAATTCGAGAACACCAGCACATAACATTCACCATTTCAAGCATTGCACAGGACTGGCTCATGATTGTCACATCACCATTGACTGCCGTCATTTAGGTCTAGTATGGTGGAACCACCTAGCTAGTTTAGTGCATAATAGTTTACAGTTAATAAAACATACAAATTACAGAAAATTTGTTGGTTATGATTCGTATTTTCTAACATTTTGCGGCTTGCGCTAGTCACGCCTCCTATTCTGGAACCGTTTTCGAATCGACGAAGCGCCAGTTCTTTTACCAAAATAATGTGTGGTTTTCATCACCGAGGCGAACAGAAATTTCGCTCTTACATTCGGAATGGTAACATAATAGCAGGGAATATTTGAAAATAATGCTTTTAGTTATACGCATCATAGTCACACAGACAGCAGCACCACACCAATAAAATTAGCTTTATAACGCCTTCATAAGACATGCTAACTCAGCAACTCTGTAACAACACTAGTTGAAGAGCCAACAGTATTGTTACGAGTTTAAGCACATTATTATGCTCATGATATAAAGTGTTGAACTAGGCTTTCTTAGACCAGCTTTTCAAGAAACTGGATACGATTCAATAAGTGTAAGTAAGACTCAATTAATGAGCCGTAAGAGAAGGATGGAAACATAGGTCACAAGGAAGTCATTTTACATTGGTCAAAAGCAGATGAAAGGTGATTTTGAAGGTATCCCGACAAAATTTAAGTTTATTCTTAGAAATTAATTTTGTTGTCTGAATTTTTCGCGAAATCTAGAATTTTTATTGTGATACTCTTTAAAAACAGATTCAATTAACTTTACAGAAGAGTTCGCAAACACTATTAACATTACCAATACTTGTTATTGTAGTTAACGGCACGTTAACATAAAGTATTCCCACTTTGTACTTTCATCATTCATAAATGGTGTATTGTATCGACATAGGTGCGTTACGATGACGAGGACGAGGACGAAGGTCCTCAACCGGACGCGACCCTGGAGCAGGGCCTGCCGCTGCCGGTGCGAATGCAGGGCACCTTCCCCGCGGAGGTATCTTCCATACCCCTCGAGGACATCGACCCCTTTTATCATAACCAAAGAGTAAGTATTTTAAAAATACAGCCTAAGCCACATTTATAGAATATCACTTTAAGATTAATATTTATAAAAACATGTATATTTCTAGTTTAGTACTTGTTAAGATGGATATTTAAGTAGTAATCTATATCAATTTTGGCCAACATTTATTTTTCACATTGATAACGAATGAAAATTTAAATTGCGTGTGCCTTCTTGAAGCGTATTATATAATTGGGCACTAACAATGCCAAATATTTTAAAGTTAAAAAGGTAATTAGTAAAACATAACTCTGTAGAATATTGTTGCTATGCATTAATTATGGGATAAATAGTATTGATTACAATCATAAAATCAATATTAATACTCAATGTGACAATTACTTTTAAAACAAATGAAAAGCACATTAACGTGTTTAGTTCACATCCTTAATGGGTAAAATAATAAAACAATGCAAATATTGAAATATCTACCAAAGTCATTAAAAAACTAACCAAATACCTAAATGTGTTTAAAATATATCTGTAATATTTTGTTATGATTTTGTATGGTCCTATCACAAAAAATAAATATGTACTTAATATTTGTTGCAGACCTTCGTAGTGATAAGCAAGGGTAGAGATATCTTCAGATTTTCGGCCACTAACGCCCTATGGTTACTAAACCCGTTCAATCCTATAAGAAGAGTGGCGATATACATTCTAGTACACCCTTTGTTCTCGTTGTTTATCATTACCACAATTTTAGTCAACTGTATTCTTATGATAATGCCTACGACACCAACCGTCGAAAGTACTGAGTGAGTATATTATTCTATTCGTAACCTTTTTCAACATCTCAGTTAGTTTCTTAATTCGATTACGAATTTCAATTTGCAACTTTGAAATACCACCGGACGAGAGAACATATCCTTTTTTAGGTTTTAGAACATAGTAGAATGCACGCTAGTTTCAAAATTGTTAGTTTTCAGCTAGTGTTCCAATTGATATAATCGATATTTAGAAACGGAAGTAAATAATCTTAGAAATTATATATACATAGTAAATTATTGGATAACATTTTTAATGTAAACTTGTATATTTTATACATCCTCAATCGCTTTAGACAGGCGTATAGAGATTTACCTTTATAAGATTTTCCCTGGCTGCAACGATTAAAATCCATTTCCATGATTATGTAAAGTTTTATTTAATATAAAATAGATATCATTCAAACCTTACTTAAATTAAACAGTGTGTAATATCAAATAAGTAACGGTATATGGTTTTTCTCATTCAGTATTTATCATTCACATTCTTCAACAACATACAATACAATCAATCATTATTTGTACATACAAACATTCATTACATAATTATCTTAAATTTAGTCGTAATTAATCCATACCCAATTAACTATTTACACAATTACTGAATACTTATTTAGACAATGTTTTTTTTTTCATATATACATTTACTACCATCTCTTATGAGTTAAGATGCTTAACTTTTATTGTATCTACCTCATAATAGAGATATGTTTTTATTACTTTACGAGTGGTATTCCTCAGTGGAGGTGAATTTTTCCAGAGTTATCTTTACCGGGATCTACACGTTTGAATCAGCGGTGAAAGTAATGGCCAGGGGTTTCATACTACAGCCATTCACATATCTTAGAGATGCATGGAATTGGCTTGACTTCGTAGTTATAGCTTTAGCGTGAGTAGTAGACAATTTATTGAAATATGTAGTATGTTCAAATTGTTGAATTGTAGATTATATTTGATGTCATTTGATTAGTTCTTTATAGAAGAATATTTATTAATATTAGCCGATTCCTTGATAAAGATTACTTGATGTTAACTATAATATGATTGTAGTGATAACTTAAGTTTCAAAGTCTTTAACAGATTTTTAACGATCTGAAATAGGTGTAATTATATTAGTACAATGTGTGTAGTGTTGTAGTAATATATATTAACGTAGATTTTGTGGTTGTGGGTCTCTGTTTCCAGTTATGTGACAATGGGTATAGATCTTGGCAACTTGGCTGCCCTCAGAACGTTCAGGGTACTCCGAGCGTTGAAGACTGTGGCTATCGTACCGGGTAAACAATATTAATTTTATTTTGTTCTTATAACTTTTATGGTATTTGGTTGGTACTGTATTGAAGTAAATTACTTGTTAGCGGTGCTTTTTTCATTAGAAAATTATACTACACATGTTGTTTAGAACTTCAGATGTAGGTATAGTTATTTTCTACTTAAGGTTCGACAGTTTAAGGCGCTTGACTTATGTTTCATAACATTATGATGCCATACGAAATAACTTTTTATTAATATAAAAAATTACACTCTTTAAGAAAAAACTATGAGATATGTATTTAATACATTTTCATATAAATTTTTCACATAATTTAAAGGGCATAAAAGAAAATAAAAGCTCAAGGTTCTAAAATTTATTCAGTTGTTTCAAAAATACATATAGGTGTTGAATATGATCTTAATAAAATGAATCATAAACACTGAAAACAAAAACAAAATTTTTAAACACTGAAAGGTTTAGAAAAGAAGAGTTTTAGGGCTTTACATATTTTGAACAATAAATCTAGAAAACCAATTTTAATTCAAAGAAAACTAATTTTAATTTAAATCAAACAAAGTACATTTTATACTGTCTGCATTTATAGCCAGACGACACCAACTTATGGTAAAAAAGTAAAAAAAAAGGTATTTTACTTTAAATGAAACTTAAAAAAATGTAAGTTACATTTTATTTTTTCATTTTATTTTACAAAAACGTTAAGGACTTTCATTTTTATAGTTAATATATTTTTAAAATTCGTTATGAGCTCCTGTTCTACTACATTGACTTTGATTGACATAATAATTATTGATATGAAATGATCGAATGTACTTAATATTTATACTTTGGGATTATTTTTTGAAGGCCTGTTCGTTTCTCTAATTTCCTTTTCTTTTTAATTTAATAAACGTTATTTTTTAATATGTTAATGGTTTACTACTAGGTTTGAAGACTATCGTTGGCGCCGTCATAGAATCAGTGAAGAATCTGCGGGATGTGATAATCTTAACTATGTTTTCACTATCTGTGTTCGCGCTAATGGGCCTACAGATCTACATGGGAGTGTTGACGCAAAAGTGCATAAAAGTTTTTCCGGAAGACGGCTCCTGGGGTAACCTCACCGATGAGAACTGGGAGAGGTTCTGCCAGAATGAGAGTAAGATCATATATGTACATAAACTTCAAAACTTGTCACAATTTTTATATGCATAACAACAGTGCGAGATAACAGGTTTATTTAAGTTTTTTTGTTAATAACTAGCTATTGAAAAAATATATCAATCCAGTTTAAATTGCTAAGTAAAACAAGTTAAAACATTTGAATATCACTTCACTTTGGGCAGTTGTAGCGCAAGAGAGGTTATGATGACAAGAATTTCAGCCCTCAAATCAGAAGAGAGATTAAGCACGAGCCCAGTTCTTTTGATTTGCTGAAACCTGGTCTGGAACACAATGTGAAATTAAGAATTTATAATTAAAGAGGTTTTTAAGAGAGGATTGTTAAAATTCACAATTCTGATAAATTTAAGAACGTATTTTTAAATAAGCTCAAGATGACAATCTCTACCTTTCTTGGGTTGTGGTAGTGTGGAGTTGGGTGTCTTGTGTAGTAAAATCAATAAAATTCTAGTCTATTCTAGTAAAGAATGCCTTTCTCATAGGATTAAATTAAGTCGAAACTAATTTAAAGTTTCTCTGCCGTGACTACCAATAGAGTAATTTATAAAGCAAAGGGTTTATTTTTAACAATAATTACAACCTTTAACCTACGAGTTCATACCTCACGAATAAGTTAAGGTTGAAACAACAAAGAATTGAAGGGTGTCCTTTGTCAAACCTATACAACCAACACCTTTATTTTGTGAAGCCCGACTTAATTTATTATGTTATCAGTTGATATACGTACTAAAGATATTCAAATTAATTCATTGAATCCTCTCCAAGTTGAAATTTATCAGTTCCAAAGCTAGCTGTTTACAAAGCACGTATAATTAACTTAGGAGGATTAATGTAGTTTTCATTTTAATTATATTATTTTCAGCCAACTGGTATGGGGGTGGAGGGGAATACCCATTATGTGGGAATTCATCAGGAGCTGGGTATGTATATTTTTCAAATTTATTACTGAACATTATAGTTCCTTATGAACAAATAAAACTTTTTCGTATTGTTGCAGACAATGCGAACCGGGCTACATTTGCTTGCAAGGTTACGGCCCGAATCCAAACTATGGCTATACGAGTTTCGACACCTTTGGTTGGGCGTTTTTGTCAGCTTTCCGACTTATGACTCAAGACTATTGGGAAAATCTTTATCAATTGGTAATGCTTTCTCTTTTAGAATGATAATCATTTATCATTATGATGCCTTATTTTTATAATAAATTCGCGGTACATAATCGAGCACCCATCAGGGTCTAGTGCATGCGATTTTACATTAACCTGATCGTCGACGACGACAGCCGATAGGTGAAGATTCAGGGACTCTAGTGCGAGTTTTGTTTCACATCAGGCCCTCTGAACTCTTCACCAATCGCAACGCTGAACGATGAAAAATAAACTCGTACTAGACCCTAGAACGACCGAACCGGACCGAAAACTCGATAACAAAATTGATCAGTTCCAGACCGACATCAGACTGACGAATTTTACCGAAAATGATTACTAATCTGGTTAATCTCGATTTACTAGATTAGTAATTATATTATTCATCCAAAAATAGTGACTCATGTATCCATTCCCATAGATGAGACAAATCAGTCTTTGAACAATCTTTAAAGGCTGCTAACGCGCACGTCAATTACTCATCAAATACCAAGAACAGATCGGAACTTGTGTAATCTTAGTAAGCGAAGGCTGTATTGATGTGATTTGTGATTAGTAAAGTACCTATATTTCCTGAACATTACATTTTTAATACAGAAAAACATTGTAATACAACAGGTAATGAGTAGTGCAATTAAAACAAAGTAATAATCAGCATATAACATATGACAATGTTTTTTACTTACAGCATATAACAAATTAATGTCCTCTTATTTATCATTATTTAAGAACGTCAGAAAAGAAATAAACCAGTTAATACTATAAAAAATCACTCTAAGACTTTTTCTTAACTTTTTGCTAAGCTCTTTCTGTTTTATGAACCAACTTCAAATTCGTATATTTTGATGTTAAACATAGTTTATTGCAATTTTAAATATATGTTATTAAAGGTTCTACGATCAGCGGGGTCATGGCACGTGCTGTTCTTTGTGGTTATCATCTTCTTGGGATCGTTCTATCTCGTGAACTTGATCTTGGCTATTGTCGCTATGTCTTACGATGAGTTGCAAAAGAAGGCTGAAGAGGAAGAACAGGCAGAAGAAGAAGCTTTGCGGGTAAGACTGGAATTTTCATATACTATTGAATATTTCTAAACTTCTTTTAAATATATAAAATATAATTGCAACATAATTAGTTTTCCTACAAAATGAGAATAGAATTTAAGAAAATATTCTAAAAAAAGGAAGATAATATATTCAAATGATAACCTCTCAAACCGCACGGTATCTTTTCTTTCCTTAAATTACATAACAAAGTAGTATATTAAAATCTGTTTTAAGTTTTGAGTAATAATTTATAAGTACATATTACCTTGCTTATTTTTTTCACGAAACTACTGATTCATATTTTCTTGCATCGTAATAGTACTCGGTAGTTATAACTATTGTACAAACCAGGAAGCGGAGCAGAAAGCAGCAGCTCGAGCTGATAAGCAGGAGGCGCGGGAGGCGCACGCGCGTGAGCAGGCGGCGGCGGCTGAGGCGGCCGCATACGCTGAAGCGCATCCGGCAAAGTCTCCATCGGACTTCTCGTGTCAAAGCTACGAACTCTTCGTGAACCAGGAGCGAGGCAACCAGGACGACAATACGCGCGAGCGCATGTCCCTCCGTAGCGACCCCTTCCAGGACTCGGTGAGCACACAGCCCACGCACAAGCCAACTGAACCTCACGACAACGCACGCCGACCCAGGAAAGTCAGCATGGTGAGTATGCGCTCAAGCTCACCAAACACCTCGCTGACAATGATTCTATATATGGTTTTGAACTTTCGCGACCCGAACTTGAACTATAATATGTAAACTTAAGTCTACATCTAGATTATTCAATTTTGATATCATCACTATGTGACTCCGACAAACCAAGGTCAATATCAACTATATTTTGCTATTTTATATAGAATAAGATCAAACGCCTATATGAATTTATCATAATTTAAAAACTTGAACAGATTTCAAAAATCTTCTAAATAGTTTTGAACTCTGACGACTTTAGCGTCTTTATCAAAAAAATAACACATGTCTGTTTCAGTCCCAGACCAGTATGGTTCGTGTGTCGCGATACATTCGAAATCAATCAACGTCTTCTTTAATATACCTAGACGTGTATATTCGTGACAAACTATATTTAATCTAGCTTAAAATACTTTATGATGTCCTGAATTATTGTCAATCGAGCAGTGTCTTTTCAACTTGACCCAAAAAAACACGCGCTGCTTTATGCAAATTTATAGTGTCTCAACAACAATAAAGAAAGCTTTCGAAACACTCTTGTGTCACTCTCATCTTCATTCAGCACTTTCAGTATCTTACTCAAGTTGAAAAGAACTATTTTATTACTATATGTTTATAGCTAAGCTTCCATTTATTTTGAGTTTGCCCGGTGATGTACAATGTTATCTTTCTACTGCAAATACACAGATGTTATTATATTGTATTATTCATGGCGTCTTGTCGTAATATTGGATTCCTTAAAAAAAATAAGTTTCACCTATCTGAATATTTGCAATGTCCTTCATTATTTTATCTGTGTGATCTTTACCCATGTCAGAATAATCTCTGTCTTGACGCATGTGTATTAGTAAACTAAATTTATGTTCAGGGCTGCTCCTACTGTGTACCTATACTGTGTAACGATCTGCTATTTCCTACATTTATCTGTGCTCTTACCATATATCGACGTCATTTAGTTAAAATATACTTTACATTTCATCTTACAATATTATAGTTAGCAACGTACGGCACAGACAGATGCTTTTCAAAGTATGTATATATGTTACATATTTCCTCAATTAGATCTATTTAGAATATCTAAAACATTAGCAAGCACGATGAGTATTCATTAAAATCTTATTTCGTTTCTTTTATTCTCAGAAAAATATCAAAGTAAAGAATTTATTAGGTAGCATTCCAGAAAGTTCATGTTCGCATGGTTCCTAAATGCTGCATATTTGCTCATGGAATGATGCATTGTAGTTAAAATTTAGTTCAATAATTTGCTCTCCAATAATATTTCTTCAATATCTATGGCGTTTATGAGCACCTGATTTTTTCAATGCATAGACACTAATGGACATGTAATGAAATGTCGGGAATTCAGTTCCGATTTTGGAACATTCTAAGAAATAATATTGGAGCAAATGAATCTATTGTCATGGTAGATTGTTTCTTTTGCAATGTGAGTGTTTAAGACCGGGCCGGACTGAAACTGAACGTATCAACGAAGGAGAGGTAGGTTCAGTCAACTTAATACAATACTGTCTATAAAATTGTTCACATTAATATTGAAGTAACATTTAGTTCCTCAATTTCGATTAGCGACTTGCGGAGGCTTCCTTATTTCAACGAACAAAAGAACAGTTGTCATGACTATAGATGTAGAATAACAGGAATAAATAGCTGTGATAGGAGTTTCAGTTAGTCGTATGCAAATTTGCATGACAACCCCACATTACTTCATGTGTTTATAAACAAAGTTACTGGACTAACTATTGCTTTCATTCATTACTTTTATTGCAATTTTATTGTATTTTGTTCTACAATAAGAGTTTTATCAAGCATCCTTCTCTTATCTCATCCCTGAATCGCTTTTCTCTTTTGGATGCCAGAACGAAAGGAAAATTCTTATTGTAAATACTTGTAATGCTTAGGACTTTTCAATATATTTCCATATAAGGCTAGTAACACATGCGTAGATATAAATTAAATCTCTAATATCACTAAATATTTTCTTATCATCACCTGGTCGCTTCTAAGCTGTAACGTTTTCATTTTACTGTATGCCAAGTTTTTATTTTATTTTTCTTTGTGTTGATCTATGTTATATGGCGATGCCTATTCTCCGTCCTGTAATCCTAATTGGTGGATGCTTATGTTTACTCGCTATAAATTCTTGAATTGTTATAAAATCGAAATTTTGTTTGTGTATTGAAGGTTCCCCACCCTGAACGCATTAATAAAATCGGCCAGTTGTCATATGGGCCACTGCGGGAGGGCTCACAGGTTTGTCCTTCAATCCTCATTGGTGTTTGTGCTCCCTTACCTCTTCCTTTATAATAGGACTTTACTCCTTTTCATTTATTTTCCTGTGTAGCTCTTACTCTTCTGACTACTATTAGTGGTAACCGGTATCTTGAACATTATTTTGCAACTATGATTTCAAATTTCAAGGTAACCACTTTATTACTTTCTTTCTTATGTTTTTATGTAAACCATTCTAAGTACTTGATTATTTAAATTCACTTTATAATTTTTTCTACATTCCTCAATTTCTCTCTTTTGTTTCTCGCTATTGTTTATCAGCACATGAAAGTAAATGAATCATTAAATTATCAGTAACATTTAGGCATACTCCAAAACACATAGTTAAAGCCTCTGCAGCCGTTTCATTAAGTTCTATTAACATTTCTTAACATGAGATGACTATAGTGTCGACGAATTAAAGCTATTCGATCGAATTGAGGAAAAATATGTAAACTACGAGATATTTTATTAAAAGAAGATAATTTTTGAACTTGTAATGAGAAATGTGACATTGTTGACAATTATATTAATGTTGATCTCTATCTAAAATAATAAGTATGGATGCAGGCCTCGTTATCTCTACCTGGTTCGCCGTTCAATTTACGACGAGGTTCGCGAGGCTCTCATCAAATGGCGCTGCGGCCGAATGGTCGTGCGCGCTACCCACCGGGCGCAGACCGGAAGCCTCTTGTACTCTCGACCTACCTGGATGCACAAGAACACCTGCCATATGCCGATGACTCGAACGCTGTCACCCCAATGTCTGAAGAAAACGGTGCTATAATTATTCCTGTTTACTACGCGAATTTAGGTCAGTATCAGTACATAATATTACTGCGGATCTAAAATATGTGTTATAAATGTTGTGAGAAGTGGTTTGTTCTTTTCTTTATGCGCTTTAAGAACCCGTTACTAAGGTAACGGGTTCTTAAATTAAGAGTATAGTTGGTTAATTCAGAAGTAGAATATAATATTTAGCCTTTGGTGAAATTTATTTCTAAGATTGATTTCCACTTTATTGTCTTCTAGTGCTTTTAGAACCTCTTGACATGACTGCAATGAAGGTGTAGATTATTGTAACACGTAAGACTGTATTAGTGCCTGCGACGTTGCTCTGTTGGAAAAAGCCATTGGTAGGTCAATAATATTTTTATATTCAGATTGATCTCGGTCATTTTTATGTACTGGATCAAGAGCGAGTTCAAGATTCGTTGTGAGAGTTGTCTGAGTTACAGTCTCTGGAATTGCCGTATCTTGTTTTATATAGTGATGCGTCCGCACTAAGAAGCGTTAGATCTATTATTATTTGGGCTCTCGATCTAACAAACCTTTGCTCCGAGTCATTGTTGATAACGTTGAGTTCAGTAACAAGTAAATATGAAAGGAAAAAGTCCGTACCTCATTGGTTGATAACCTTGCACTCGGTGCTTATTGGCGTCAGCAGATACAATTACAATCACATCGGGATCACTTTGTTGACCAGGATCCCGTCACTCGTCATATACATCGCACCAGTCGCGGTTATCCTACACGTCTCATGGCGATCTTCTCGGCGGTGGCAAAGCACAGACGAAGGAGGCGCGGCTGCGCGGGCGTTCTGCCTCAAGAAACCACAGCGTCACTTCTCAACCGCTCGCCTATCAGTTACCGCGACAAGATTCGTCGCTAGCCTCCAGGCCTCTTAGAGAATATGTATGTATTAACAAATATTATCAGTTGGCAAAGCTGAATTTGAACTAATACTAATCTGAAATTACCCATCACTCTCCAATCATATCACCAAATACCGTAAACAACTATAAAGTTTTATCCATTACCACTTACAGCCTACTTCCATAGCTGCCTCTACAGTCTGGAACCATCTATGCATTACTTTACGAATATTGCTTATTACTTATTACAGTACAGTAATAATTACGACAAATCCTCTAAAACGCCATTGAGAAATATACCAATTTTAGAAAGTAGTAGGTAGGTATGCAAGACCATCAGAAAAAAGGATAGGTGATGGCGAATTATTTCTACTAAAAGAACTATGTGAGAAATGATAATATTGTCCTTCGTCCGCCCTTCTAATATGTAAGAATCTAGTCATAGACCAAGCCATTCCGCTTAAAATATAATACAAAATATTCTTAACATATATTTTTTGTGAATTACAGGAGATGAGCACGACTGAATGCACAGATGAAGCTGGCAAAGTGTTAAAACCGTCAAACGACAATCCATTCATAGAATCTACGCAACAGCCTAATGTAGTTGATATGAGAGGTATGATTGCTTAAAATCTTAAAAAAGCTCCTAAAGATTGAAATAAGAAAAGAAAACTTAAAAAAAAACTGAGTAAATCAATCTATACCAAATATTCATATCTGTTTCAGATGTAATGGTATTAAATGAAATCATCGAGCAAGCGGGACGACAGAGTCGAGCAAGCGACCAGAACGGTACGCCTAAACAAATTACACTTTCAATGTTGTTGCTAATTGAAAACGCTAATATCTCTGCATTCTTTAACTTTATTTAACTAAATTTCAATGTTTTATATAAAATACTTTGCTTCTTACAATGACCCTACAGTTCAACCAACGAATTAAATATATCTAAACAGCAAAACACAAACACTCACAGAATACACTTGGCCGGTATTTGCTCATTATGCATCAAAAAAAGGCATAATTGGCAAAATAATATCAGAACATTTGTGGATGTCATTTATTGGCATTACCCACAGTCATTAAAATAATAGAAAAATGCACTAGCACGCCCTGTTGAAGAAAAATTTAAAATAATTATTATCTGATGTCTATTTTAGTACGGGTAATAATAAGATTTTAATTCGAAGTGCTCAACTGAAACGAGGGTCACAATTCCCACAGTACAATACTTTGCTTAAACTTACTTACCTGTCTCAAATTTTTCTTCGACTTCCAGATGATTTAAATGTAGTTTTATACATGGTACTTTGTTTACCTACATAGTTATTTTACAATGTCGATTACACTGACAGTGTTACATATAGATGTCCATTCACCAAATTATCTTCACATATTCTTTGTAGCCTCTCTATATAGGCACGATTACGATTATACCTTTTCGATACACCTCTCTAATTCGAGCACAGCTTTTCATACATCACGATCACTTATTAAAAGCACAAACCAAAGGACTCTGCTTCAACCTTTTTTGCACCTCTGTAACTTTAGATCCTGAATCAACGGCTGTACAGATAGCAAATAACCGATTTAATTAATGTAACCTAGTCGTAATGTGTACCTTTAGACATAAATGATGTTGTGAAAACGTTAATAGAAAAATGAGTATTATAAGTCAATCAGAGAGCTTGTAAGAATTGCTTCAGATCACTCTTTGGTAATAGGCACGATATTCATATTTTTTGGTTAACTACGGTTTGTGACTATCAGACAAGCTCAATATCATCCATAAGAGCATTAAGAGTAGTAAATCAAATACGCTTTAAAGACTTTGAAAGCATATGAGATATAGGCACCGCTAGTAGCGTTTGAATTTAATTTGCACGTGATTTACTTAGCACAGTGGTGTGATACACCAATGGAGTTCCTGTAATCGCTAGCACTCCTGAGTGCCACGTATTGCGCATCCTCCATTTTGTTGTAAGATAAGTGACAGCCAGCAAACATGACAAAAAATATGGATATTGGTGTCTGAAATGTGTAGGATAAAAAAGTTCCAATAAAAGAATTAATTTGATTACACAAAATTCATATCTTAAAGTTGATTATTAATTAGTCCTCTTTCTTTTATTGGAAGGTTATCATTTGTATTGAAAATAATGAGCGAATACTAACAAAAAATTCTCTCCCTCTCACACACACACACGCATTCTGCCGGTAAACGGGACACAACAGTGTCAGTGTACTACTTCCCAACAGCGGAAGACGATGAGGACGGACCGACATTCAAAGAAAAACTGTTGGAGTACCTCATGAAAGGAATAGACTTCTTCTGTGTTTGGGACTGTTGCTGGCTGTGGCTGGAGTTTCAGAAGTATGTGGCGCTGCTGGTCTTTGATCCCTTTGTAGAACTGTTCATCACGCTGTGTATCGTGGTCAATACGCTGTTCATGGCCCTCGACCACCACGACATGGACAAGGATATGGAGAGAGCGCTGAAGAGTGGCAATTATGTTAGTATCTTGTGAAAAAATGTATGCCTGACGTCATTTAAAAAAAAAAAAAAGGACTTTCTTAAAATATAATATTGATTTCTTTCTATTATTTTTCAGTTTTTCACCGCTACTTTTGGTATTGAAGCTACACTGAAGTTAATAGCGATGAGTCCGAAGTTTTACTTTCAAGAAGGATGGAATATTTTTGACTTTATCATTGTGGCCTTATCATTATTGGAGTTGGGACTAGAAGGTGTTCAGGGTTTGTCTGTGTTGCGTTCCTTTCGTTTGGTATGTATCTTTTTGACTATGTATATTTTAGTAGTCATTAATTAACATCACTATAACAAAAAAATCGTAAAATCGCAATCTACTCCTCTTTCCTCTACTGATGTGACCCTCCGCTTGGTTGTGTCCTAATATGTATCTTTATTTAGCTCCGTAAACTGGTTTCACTGTAATCTTACTTCATATGCCACCCTAACATTAAGAATAATCTAATGTGAATGTAATTAATATGTAAATGTGGTGAAATATTTTCAGCTACGTGTATTTAAACTGGCCAAGTCTTGGCCGGCGCTAAACCTAATAATATCCATAATGGGTAGGACGGTGGGAGCTTTAGGGAACTTGACCTTTGTACTTTGCATCATTATATTCATATTTGCGGTGATGGGAATGCAGTTGTTTGGGAAGAACTACACAGGTTCTAATTTAAACGAAAATTTAGCATCTCTAATTAAAGAATTAAGCTTCATTATTAATTATTCAGCTTTACACAACCAAATTTTTTACACTGGGCTTGATTCAACATTATTTTCATGACGGACTGATGGGTCCTCGATGTGGCTTTATAACATGAGGTGTGGCTAAAAGCTGCCACTAAGTTAGCTCATGCGTTATAAAGCTATGCCACTCAGCTTCAAATCATAATTTAAGCTTTGCATCAAGTAACATAGATTTGACTTGCAGCTTCGCTTATGAAGGGTATTTTGATGCATCAGGTCGTCTACTGATGGGATCTATGTCGTTATAAGAGAAAAAACGTCAAATTAGAACCTATTACTATAATATATTATGAAAAACATGTATATTATCGAACCAAAAGCTCTCACGACAAGAACTAACATAAATCCCACTCATACAGAAGTAATTCTGTGCACATTGATAGGTATGTGAAGCACACATTTGCTAACGTGTAAGGGCCCACAATCACTCACGGCACGGCATGCGGCACGTTGACACACCCGACATGTTCGCACTGAGGGACTGTGAGTGATTGCGGGTTGTGGAAGGGACCGTAGTAGCATAGGTGAAGCGCCGGTTAGCGAGCTTGTGTGACGCCTTGTATCACAATTTGTAATTGCAGCTTCGAGTATTCAAATTGGCAAAGTCATGGCCGACACTTAATTTACTCATCTCCATAATGGGTAGGACAATGGGTGCCTTGGGCAACTTGACCTTCGTATTGTGCATCATTATTTTCATATTTGCCGTGATGGGTATGCAACTATTCGGGAAAAATTACGTGGGTAAGTGTAATTGGTGGGAGTGTTGCATGTAAATTGGTGTTTGATTGGAGATGTTAACTGTTGGTGAACGGTGGGGGTGCCCGGTGTACCACGACTAATGTATTTCAACATGCATATACGATACTATCAAATTCGGTAATTTTATACTAGCTGTGAATACAGTGCAAACTAGTTAAACTATGCACAACCCTCTTTAAATTTACTGTACAACCTTTTCCCGTAAATATCATTATAACCATATTTTACTCCACCTCTAAAAATTACTTAGTAATTGAGCGTAATTACATCTTTTGTACTAAATGTAAAATGTCTTAACTGAAATCAATATCATCAGTGGTTTGGTGTGCAAACTCGATCAAGTTTATCAAACGGTTGATCCAAAATGTACACTGTACATATAGTCGTTACAAAAATATAGTTTTTTGCAATATGAGAGATAATACCAACAAGAGAAAAATATTTTTTATTGTGTGATTTGATACAGGTACTCACAGCGATAATACAGATAATTATCACAACACCGTAATTGCCAAGAAAATGTATTACTGTTGAAGTATATTGAGTGTTACATAGCACTTTAAAGTGTGGAATATGTGATTGATACATATTTTTATAAATTCTCGTAAAACATCATTAACTATTTAAGATTATTTTATAAATCATGTCATATCTCATAAATCCATTGATTTTATTCTTTGAAAATCACAATTTTCTCTCGCAAAATTATAGAGCTTGGTTTTACAATATTAATAGTTAACATAAAAATAATAATAACCTTCTCCAAGAATTATATTTGTAAATCTATGATTAATATAAAGCTTATCAAAGCCAAGATATTGGATAAAAATCCTTTATAAAAATCAATAGTAACCTAAAAACAAATCACTTCCACACTTTAAGTCGGGCTCGCCGCCTCTTTTGAATAGTTGATATTGTGTTTATGTGCGTCACACTGTTGTGCTCATTAGAAAATTGGTAAGAGTCGATGTATCCCTTACAAGTGAGCTTCAAACCCTAAAAATATGTAAAATCCTTTATGTAAAAGCCCAAGGAAAAGGCGCCTCACTTGTGAAACAATACCGCTAAGTAGCCTGTCATGTTTCCTCTTTACATCTTTCCACCTTCTCAATATATCTTCAAAGCCTATCGTTAGCGCTATATTTAAGTCTCTGATATATTCTCTTATAATATTATGGCATGTTATATTGTAAGTATTATATTACAAGTAAGCTTAATACTTATCTAGGCCCATTAACTAGTGATGCATGGTTTTGATGTTAGTGAACACGGAATAGACTATATACTCTTAATTTTATCACAAATATAACACGTGGCACCCGTCATGGTTGAAATAAACCTACACAAAATATTGAGGTGCTTTTATATTTACCTGATCGCAGTATGAAACGCTCAGATAGAGTTGTATTTTTTCGAAATACTATGTCTACTATTTGCCCCGGTCCTTCGGTCAGGTGCAGATGAAAAACGCCTTAAATTAATAAAATTGACCATATTTTAAACTTTTTAATTTATTAATGTGAATATCATACTGCGATAGTTAATTATGCAAACTGTATATAACATCAAATTGCTTTTCTATTACTGTTTTATTATTGCCACTTTGTTATCAAAATATATCTCCGTATCGTATCTATAATAATTAAAACACCCGCCTTTCACTATATCTGTAGCTCTATCTGTGGTGTATTGTTGTTGTCTGACACTTTGATGTTTCGTGAATACCAAAACCCAAATATACAGGAGATATTTATTGACAGATTTATTGCCAATCTTGAAATAATTCTATGTACTATAGTAGTTGTTTATGTATGCACAGATTACGTAGACCGATTCCCGGATGGCGACCTTCCTCGATGGAACTTCACTGACTTTATGCACAGTTTCATGATTGTATTCCGAGTGCTTTGTGGAGAATGGATAGAAAGTATGTGGGACTGTATGTTGGTCGGTGATGTCTCATGTATACCATTCTTCCTGGCAACGGTCGTTATTGGCAATCTTGTGGTTGGTATCTATTTTTTTTAACTGTTTCAATCTATACGATCTAAATAAAAATGAGTAAAAATACTAAACATATCCGAAATTTAAGGTCCTGAACCTCTTCTTGGCCCTGTTACTGTCCAACTTCGGCTCATCGAGTTTATCTACACCAACTGCCGACCAGGATACAAATAAAATAGCAGAGGCCTTCAACAGGATATCCAGGTTTACTGATTGGGTCAAACGAAATGTTGCTGACTTTTTGAAGATTCTGAAAAACAAACTGACTAATCAGATAGCGATTCACGCTCCCGGTAAGATATGTGTCCGGTTGCCTTGTTGTGGCATGTCGATGTTTCCGTGTCTGTATCCTATGTAGATTATAAAGGCTTCGAATTTAATCCACAATAATTGGTTGATGGTTTTGTGAGTATAATTGGTGGATAAAGTAAATGCGTTTTTTGTTATTGAATTAAAAAAACAACGAAATAAAAAGTATAATACTAAAAGTACCTGTTTTCAAAATCCACAAGTATTATACCTACTTGTCATAATTGGTCACTTCAGATAAGCTGAACTAAGTTTTCAACAAAAAAAAACACTTCCTATGAGCTAGAGCCCTGTTAAAATTTTGACCAGAACAAGACTATGAGTTAAGAGAGACACATTTGGAAGTAATTACTTTTTACATACAATCTGTGTAATAATATACATATAATTGGTAATTATTTTGATCAAAATAAGTACCGCTATACGAGGGGTGATCAATAAGTAATGATAATCGAGTATTTCTAGAACGCACAAAAACCCAAATTATTTTTTTTCTGCTTGCTTATATATCCACTACTTCAGCTTCAAAAAAAATGTATAAATAGGACACCATTACCGGGAGATACATTCATTTGAATACGAACTGTCGAAGAGAAAACATCAAAATGGAGAAAAATGAAATAAGAGCTGTCATCAAGTACCTCTGCCTGAAAAAAATGTCTACCAAAGACATACACAGCGACTTAGAGGAAACATTGGGGGAGTCTGCTCCTCCATATTCCACAGTCGCACGCTGGGCAAAGGAATTTAAGCTGGGCAGAACCTCCACTGAAGATGAACATCGCGAGGGACGCCCTTCCACGTCCCTTACTGGAGAAAACGTCAAAAAAGTGGAAGATATCGTGTTGGCCGATCGAAGGGTGACCGTAAGGCATGTAGCTGAGGTTACAGGGATCTCCTATGGCAGCGTTCAAAAAATCATTGTCAACAAAATGCATATGAAAAAGGTCTCTGCGCGTTGGGTACCGAGAATGTTAACCGACGAGCAAAAAAAGAAACGAGTCGACATTTCGAGGGTGAATCTTCAAAAGTTCCAGGCCGATAAAGAATTTTTTTGTCGCGTTTTGTGACCATGGACGAGACCTGGATCCACCACTTTGATCCCGAAACCAAACAACAATCAATGACTTGGAAACGAGCTTCCTCACCAACGCCGAAAAAATTCAAAGTGTCAAGTTCAGCGGGAAAGGTTATGGCGTCTGTTTTCTGGAATGCAGAAGGAATGATTATGGTGGAATATTTGGAAAAGGGGGCCACTATAACAGGCTCTTACTACGCAGGCCAAATAAGAAGATTGCGAGAAGCTATTAAGTCAAAAAGACGCGGTAAACTGCGCGCTGGAGTGCTGTTTCACCAAGACAACGCCCCGGCTCACAAAGCCGCAGTTGCGATGGCTGCCATTGAAGAAACGGGGTTCGAACTGCTCGAACACCCTCCCTATTCGCCAGATCTAGCTCCCAGTGACTTCTACCTCTTTCCTCGGCTCAAAGAACACCTCCGGGGCAACAAATTTGAGGACAATAGTGAAGTGATGGCCGCAGTAGAGTCATTTTGGGAGGGTCAAGACAAAGATTTTTTTTTTAAGGGAATCATGGGCTTAGAAAAAAGATACACTAAATGTATTAACTTGCAAGGAGACTATGTTGAAAAATAAAATACTTTTTTTAATCTAATAGTTCTGTTTCATATTGATTATCATTACTTATTGATCACCCCTCGTAATTTGTAAAAATTACTGGTTGGCATGATTTGTGTATACCTACCCAAACATTACTGTAGCATGTTGTTGTGTAACAATAAATAATTTGTGTATAATCATTGCGTGTTGTGGACACTGTGCGTTGCCTGCGCCCTAGCGCTCTAAGTGTAGAAACAGACCCTCATCTGAATGTCGTGTTTTGACTCCTCGTTTCACTATTAGTTAGATTTTCTTTTTTTTTTTCATTCTCTTCAAGACTACCTTACAAAATATTATGTGTGAATCGGTGTTTAATTGCGATAATATTGTACAACTCTTTACACGTGTTGCTTGTGGGCTAGGGTTACGAAGGTGTTGGGGTGTGGGTGTGGCTGAACCTCTTGGATCGGGTATGTCCACAAACGTAAAAGTTGCTAAAAATACTATTTGCATATCTTGCTTCTATGCAAGATATGCAAATAGTGTTTTTAGAGCGTTGCCAGTGACCGCGCTCCAACAGCATTTTTAACATGATTGCAAAGCAAATAGGCTCCTTTGTACGTATCACATAAGATGTATCAGCAACGGAACGTATCTGCAGTCTATTCAGTCTATGGTTTTTTATATATATATTCAATATTGTATAATTTTACAAACAACAGTTCTTAAGTGTACTAATGAAGTCCTAGTTACTTGAACAAATATTTTTTTAATTGCTATTTATAATTGATAAGGCATCGATCCTACAATCACAAATTGGCCACTTGTTACCATAATCAATGCGATTCTGGTAAACAAAAGGCATCACACCTGATAAATATTATGATTGAGTCCTGATTCACACATTTTATACGGTATCCATTTTACGGGTCCTATTTTAAATAAAAACACAAACTTTCTCGTTTTTAGTTCATACAAAAATATATTAAGGAATAATGTGTATATTTGTTCGATAATGTGTAAAAATGCTTCGATCTTATTTGTAGTATACTTTTACTAATTCTTACGTAATTTTTTGAAGCTCTTGGAAAACAAAAATCTTCTTAAATCACAAAGATAATTTTAATATGTGGGTGGATATTGTAATTTTGCTCACGGATCGTGATGATCGTTCAAGCAGCACCACTGTGTAAATAAATAATTACAATAATAAAATATTTCAATCGCGAACTCACTAATACAGTCCATTATAAAGTCATTATTATTATTTTAGTAGAAAAAAATATCCTACTGTTTTCTTAATTTTATGAGCGGCCGGTGCAATGTGTAATATTAAAATAGGGTTTTGACTGACTGCTGTAGTCCTAAAGCTAGCCATACACGCACAGATCTGCCCGCCGGATCTGTCCGACAGACGTGCCTGGCGGACAGATCCGTGCGTGTATGGTGAGAACGGACACGGATTTGCACGCCCGGTGCCTGCCCGCTGCCCGTGGTCAAATCGAGCGGATCGGGCACGGGGCGGGTAGATCCGAGCTCCCAATTGTGCGTGTGTGCGTAGCGACGGATGTAACCGTCAGATTTGACGTCAGTCGCGCTCTAACACTCGAAGTATGGAGGGTAGAGGTAAGGAGAACCATCTCATATATTAAAAAGTGTCCGATGAAAGGCAGCAAATTAAGATGGCGCCTCAATAGCAAGTGGGTGGAAAATTTAAAAATAGCGCCACAGATAATTAGAGTAGGACACGATTAAAGAAGGAAAGAAGCTTTCCCATTGCTTCTACACTAGTTTAAAAAGACTAGTTTTTACAGACGACCGTATTTGCTGGCATTACGATCTGAACTGCTGCCCGTACTCGTGTGTGGCGAATCACGGATCTGCCTGTCGGACAGATCCGGCAGGCAGATCTGTGCGTGTATGGCTAGCTTAAGACGCCGGAACGTGTATCCTTATGTCTGTCCTATGATTGGAGACTAAAGGGACAGGGATGTCAAATGGACATCCATTTATCAAGAACTATCTATTTCTATCTGGGGCTTATTATGGCGCGCGCTCGTCTTAATAGCTCGTGTATGTATAACTTTATGTATGTAGCAAACAGTTACATATATTGTCATTTATTACTTAATATATTAAGATGTCACCTTTGTGCACCTACCTTACAAAACTTCTACACCACCCAAAGTTTGAATAGAAGGGAATGCCCAGGGCATTAAGTCCGCCGATGTACAAAAGAGCATAAAGTTAAATAAAAAAATAATAGGGAATCTTCGTCAGGTACTTCTAACTTCTTCTAAATCAGTCAATAATATAATATAGAGCACTACTGTGCTCAGTACTATATTATTTACTTGTAGACGACACGAACACCAACCATTTTCATGTATTATATAGCCACTATAGTTTTTTGGACAAAATCCTAAATCTTTTCCTAAAATAAAAGTAGCCTAAGTAACTCTTTATAATATTATCTATCTTACAGTGAAAACCTTTAAAAGTCGGTCGTAAATTAGCCGGAACAAATGCATGGACAGAATTTTAAAAATAACTTTTTTGAAACTGCAAAGAGAAGGAAAACTTAATATTACAATATACGAGTATATGTATATAAAACATATCATTATATCGGTACATACGATGAAGTATGTGCTTACAAACTAACCTATTCGTTTTCAAGTCGTTCTCTATCATTCTTATTCACCCGTTTTTTAAATCAGTCAATAATATTTTTTTGATGTTTACTAATCTTCTTAAATCTCACTTTAGGTAACAGAGGTCAATACAATACTGATTGAACTTTATCGTACCATATGAACAATGCTCTGTTGTGTGTATTATTTTTGAAATAAATAAATTTTATATTTATTACCTCACCAAATGTTGAACAAAGTATTTTTTTTCTTTTTCTTAGTTATAACGGTGCTGTGTTTGTGCTTGAAGTCCAATATGAAAATATATCTGTCAGTGTATGTATATTTATAGCTTTATGTGTATGTGCATGATCATAGCCTTGTTCCTGTTTATGTATATGTACAGGCAATACATTTTCATTAATCATGTTATCATAACTACATTTTTTTAAATGTTTATTTACGTAAGACGTATTTTATTATTAGATGACAATAAAACAGATACGTACCTTTTAAACTCATGTAAATAATTGAAGTTATTAAACGAAAAACATATATTTTCTTAAATAAATAATTAACCTATTTTTGTTAATGTAAAAGCACTATCACAAATCTTCAATGCAAAATATCGAGGATTGAAATGTATACTTATTTTCATTTTAAACAAAAATATATTTGGCTATGATATCTAAGTATTAAGGTCTGATTTCTATGCTTGGTGTTCGGGTGGCTCGGTCGCACGGTGGACACAACGACATATAGGCTTAAAAGCGGCTCTATGTGGCCGTTGTGTCTCTTCAGAGCGAGTTGACAACGAACTGGAACTTGGAACAGACCTGGAGGATACCGTACTTTATAAGGACAAGAAAATCAAAGACCAAGTAGAAGTAGCTATAGGCGATGGTATGGAATTCACTATACCAGGTACTAATGTTCTCATATTTATTCAGCATAAAATTAGGATAAAATTTATTCTAAAGCCATTGTCAAAAAATTTCAGGTGATAATAAATACAAGAAAGGCAAAATACTTTTAAATAATATTAATGCAATAACAGACAATCATAGGGATAATCGGTTAGATTGTGAATTAAATCATCATGGTTATCCTATACAGGTAAATATGTCAGCAAAATGTATATTAATTGAATTATCTACGTAATTTGTAATACCCGAAATTAATATGAACTGCCTCTTTGATCGTCAGGATGATGATACAATTAGTCAAAAGTCGTATGGTAGTCACAAAATCAGGTCGTTCAAAGATGAAAGTCACAAAGGGTCAGCAGATACAATAGATGGCGAAGAGAAAAAAGATGCTAGTAAAGAAGACTTAGGATTGGAGGAAGGTAAATAAAAGCTACATAATAGATGCACGAGTAGTATAACAAGGTCAAGTTACCAACTTCATTTTCATGCTGTATTTTGTATCTATATTTAACAGAAATGATAGAAGAAGAAGAAGACGGTAAATTAGATGGAGACCTTGGCAAAACAGATATTATAGTTGCTGCTGATGAAGAAGTGGTAGATGACAGCCCATCCGACTGCTGTCCTGAGCCATGCTACGTAAAGTTTCCCTTCCTTGCTGGAGATGATGAGTCACCATTTTGGCAGGGTTGGGGCATGCTCAGATTAAAGACCTTCAGACTTATTGAGAATACATATTTTGAAACGGCTGTGATAACAATGATTTTGCTCAGTAGTTTGGCTTTGGTAAGATATTATTTTATACACATATTTAAATAATTCATCAATTATGTATTTGTGAGTTGATGAAAAACATACAATTTGCTTCTTTACAGGCTTTAGAAGATGTAAATTTACCTCATCGACCGATTCTTCAAGACATCTTATATTATATGGATCGTATCTTCACCGTTATATTCTTCCTTGAAATGTTGATCAAATGGCTTGCCCTTGGCTTCCAGAAGTACTTCACAAATGCTTGGTGTTGGCTCGACTTCATCATTGTCATGGTAAAATACTGTTTTATTAGTTATTTCTCTTTAATTATGTGTAATAACTTTTACTTGCAGGTTATTTATTTTTCTCTCATTAAGAAAGGTGTGTTATCTAAAACCTAACAAGCGTAGAGTTTAAAATACAATATAGGTATTTGAATTTATGCGTTTCAATGTATGTAATGATCAAGCAAATGACAAATGGTATGACGTTAGTTGTCGCTCGTAAACCACGGCGCTGTGATGGCGGGCGCAGATGACATCCCGGCGTTTCGATCGATGCGCACGTTACGGGCTCTTCGACCGCTTCGTGCCGTTTCACGCTGGGAGGGCATGCGCGTGAGTAAGCGCCATCACGCGTGTCGACTATGGTGCTATCTGTGTTACTGTTGCGATGTACATCGACGCCCTACTCATTTCTATTATCATCGTCTTTACTTTATTTCAATAAATATTGATTCAAAATCTTCATAATGTTGATGTGCAACGTAACTCAAAGCGTGCGGCTTTGATTGTTCGATGTCTATGGCAGTGATATATCCAACCAGCCTTACCTCGCTGCCTCGAGCTCTCGATGTCGTATTGTTTGTTTATAAATAACGCTTCTTTGTGATTCTCTACCCACAACCCTGCTACGTGACAGCATCTTTACTTGTTGCAGACTATAGTGAGATCACATGTTACAAGAGACTTGAAATCCTCGTATTTTCAAGTGCATGATCCAATATGACTTCTTTCTTTGTGCTCTTACGAGACAGTGCCATTTTCATTCAAAACAGAAGTTCAGTTTAAGGCGTAATGAAGATTTTCTAAGTTGTATTGAAAACGGCACAGATCTTGAATGCTGTTGATGTCATATAAATATATCTTGATATATCTGTTCTCCGTATGTGATGTAGCTTCATTACAGGGACATCAGACAATTTTTTTTTACAAAGTTTGAAATGAAAAATTCTTTGTTGTCCTAACTTATGTTAATGTATAAATGTTTGTAACTCGAGTGACACTTTACACTCTTGGTTCGGTAGTTTCCTGTCTTCTAAAGTTATTAACTTTTACTTTTCTCAGTAAATTGGTTTGTCCCTGAGTTCAATACAGGTCGTTTCTTTTGCCAAGACATGGATTAACTCCACATTGTTGTTGCTGGTGGTGATTGTCTGAGATTAACATTCAGGTTCTAGGTGGCGTAGTTCTTGGAGATTTTAACATTGTAACACTGATTTTTGTGAAATAAATAGTGTCTCAATATGCAATCCTTGATTTCATCAGGTCTCGCTTATAAACTTCGTAGCGGCGCTTTGTGGCGCCGGTGGCATTCAGGCGTTCAAAACGATGCGAACGCTGCGCGCACTGCGCCCACTCAGAGCCATGAGCCGCATGCAGGGCATGAGGGTACGTACCGCCCGGCGGCAACCTCCACCCAGCTCATCCATCCACCACACACTTCGCTCCACACTTCACTAACACATCTCTTTTCAACTTCTAAGATCATTATTTACATTATATTTCTAACATTCGGGTATAGCTCTTTTTCAATGTCTCTGCATCAATCACCTGATCTCATTTGTTTTATAGTGTTAATTTCAGCAGTTGATACAAATTCATTGGTAGTAGCCGGTTATGGATTTTATTATTAGCAAATCATGTTGAAGTGGTCGATGGCACCCCTGAATGGCTTAGTATCATCACTATTCGTTATTAACCTCTTTTAGAAGTGGATCAATTGGAAATACTTTAGGGCTGATAGATATAGATTTTGGTCTATTTTTATTAATGTATTAGCTAGATTAGTCTTTTTAAATCTTATTTATCTGGAATGTTAATTTGTATTGTGCACCTTAGATATTTTATTCTTCTTGTTTCTTCATAGTACGAGTCGGCAAATCGCATGTGTTATTACTACCTACTAATCTCTGGCTATTTTAGACGATAAGGTAAGAGTAGTGTAGTGTTTATGTTGCTTTAATTATGTGCTTCGTGTATTTGATGTTATGTAAATATTTTCATGTTATTTTTGATAAACCTTAACTTCACAAAATTTAATAATCATCATAATAATATCATACACATGATCATCAAATCTAACGGTTCATGTTAAGTAGTTATCAATATTCATGGCAAAAGTTTGAAAAGATAATTACATTTGATTATAACTAGCACGCTGTCAAACAAAATTGACTAAAGATATATATAAATATAGTATGATTTGAGAACATTGATGTGATACAACAGGTTGTCGTGAACGCGCTGGTGCAAGCTATCCCTTCGATCTTCAACGTGTTGCTTGTATGCCTGATCTTCTGGCTTATTTTCGCCATCATGGGAGTGCAACTCTTCGCTGGAAAATACTTCAAGGTAATTTTTACCCCTTTCATTATAATATTCCGTCAAATATATATCAATAGTAATCCTACTGCATACTTATATATTTCGTAATTGGTTAAGATCACATTTTCTTATATAACGTTTAACTAAAAATATTCCAGTGTGTTGACCTAAATCATACAACGCTGAGCCATGAGATAATTCCGGACAGAAACGCATGCATCTTGGAGAACTATACTTGGGAAAACTCACCAATGAATTTCGACCACGTAGGCAAAGCTTACCTTTGCCTTTTCCAAGTAGCCACATTCAAAGGCTGGATACAGATCATGAACGATGCTATCGACTCGAGAGAGGTAAATTGCAATCAACCATTTTATCATCATTTAAAATAATGGTTATAAGTAATGTCTGAAGTTTGTAACAATTGATTTTGCTTTCGTTGTCAGGTGGGCCGACAACCAATCCGAGAAACCAACATCTATATGTATTTATATTTCGTATTCTTTATTATCTTCGGCTCATTCTTCACCCTCAACCTATTCATCGGTGTGATTATCGACAACTTTAACGAGCAAAAAAAGAAAGCTGGTGGTAGCCTTGAAATGTTTATGACAGAGGATCAAAAGAAATATTACAATGCGATGAAGAAAATGGGATCGAAAAAGCCTTTGAAAGCTATACCAAGACCGAAGGTAAGTAAAATAATTTCATTACTTTACTTGTTTCTGTATGATAGAACAATTTCATACTAAAGTATAATTCTTTGTATCTTTTACAGTGGCGACCGCAAGCAATTGTGTTTGAGATAGTGACAGACAAGAAGTTCGACATGATTATTATGTTGTTCATTGGGTTCAATATGTTGACGATGACGCTGGACCACTATCAACAGTCTGACACGTTCAGTACCGTTCTGGACTATCTCAACATGATATTTATCGTGATATTCAGTTCTGAGTGCCTACTAAAAATATTTGCCTTACGGTATCATTATTTTGTGGAGCCGTGGAATCTATTCGATTTCGTAGTAGTCATGTTCTCCATACTTAGTGCGTATAATATTTAATATTTAATTGACTCAATTAACCTTCTCTGAAGTTAACATCGCTTACTATAATTTCATTGTCAACAGGTTTGGTTTTGAGTGATATTATAGAAAAATACTTCGTGTCGCCCACTTTGCTAAGGGTCGTAAGAGTAGCAAAAGTTGGTCGTGTGTTGCGTCTTGTGAAAGGTGCTAAGGGTATCCGTACTTTATTGTTCGCATTGGCCATGTCACTGCCAGCCTTGTTCAACATCTGCCTGTTACTCTTCCTCGTCATGTTTATCTTTGCCATTTTCGGGATGTCATTCTTCATGCACGTTAAGGACAAAGGAGGACTAGACGACGTTTACAACTTCAAGACCTTCGTGCAGAGTATGATCCTGCTATTTCAGGTATGTTGGATAGTCTAAGTATACTTTAGAAGGGCAGCTAAAATCAAGATCTGAAATATTTAAAAATCGCTTTAAATTCTATAATCTGGCAAACTCAAAAACTAAAATTAATGAACTAGATCGCATACTAGATCAAATTAAGCCTAAGGTTGTAAGCAGTGTCTCTTGTATTATAGTGTAGGTGTGATCGATCATAACCAATGTATTCTCATGTGTAACTTAATGAATGTACATAGTATACCTCAGCCTATGCTTGTCCACTGCTGGACATAGGCCTCTCCCAATGATTTCCAGCGGGGACGGTTGATTGCGGCCTGCATCCAAATGTACATATATGTGTATTTTGTTTTCTTGGTATATGGAGTAGATGTCGACATCTGCCGGGTGGGACGGTGTACTGGACGGTATTATAAATGAGGAAGAGTGCGATTTGCCAGACAACGAGCGTGGATACCCCGGCAACTGCGGCTCCGCCACCATTGGCATCACATACTTGCTCTCCTACCTCGTAATCTCTTTCCTGATTGTTATCAACATGTACATCGCTGTCATTCTAGAAAATTATTCACAGGTAATCTAAAAATATCTTAAAAGATCATTTTCACTTTTTGTTTAACGATGTTCAACAAGTTTCTTAATATGTTCTGTTCTCTGTATTAAAGTGTCTGTTAGAAAATATTAATAAACTGATACCTACTTCTTATACGTTTACAGGCGACAGAGGACGTGCAAGAAGGTCTTACGGACGATGACTATGACATGTATTATGAGATCTGGCAGCGGTTTGACCCAGATGGGACCCAGTACATTCGGTACGAACAGCTGTCCGACTTCTTGGATGTGCTGGAACCCCCGCTGCAGATCCACAAGCCGAACAAGTACAAAATCATATCGATGGACATTCCGATATGTCGCGGTGACATGATGTTCTGCGTGGACATACTGGACGCGTTAACGAAGGATTTCTTTGCGAGAAAAGGAAACCCAATCGAAGATCCCGGAGACCTGGAGGTGGGACGGCCGGACGAGGTGGGCTACGAGCCCGTGTCGTCCACGTTGTGGCGCCAGCGCGAGGAGTACTGCGCGCGCCTTATCCAACACGCCTGGCGCCGCCACCGCCGGGCGCACGAACCCGGCGACGAGGCGGCAGGCGACGACGCGGGCGGCGAAGGGGCCGCCACGGCGGTACTGATGGACGCGGTGACGCCCAACGGACACCGCGTGGTGCTGTCGCCGGGCGTGCTATCGCCGGGCTCGGGCGGGGGCGGCGCGGCGCCCGTCTGACCCACGTTGGCGCTCGCGCTGCTGCCCGCGCTGGTCGACGACGCGCCGCTGCCGCTGCCCGCACCGCTGCCCGAGCTGTTGAGCCCACCCAAGCGCACTTAATTATTTTTACGCTAGACGTTCGCGGCACGACCAGGTGTGTGTCGGCGGGCCGCGGCGCGACGTGACGCCCGTGCGGCCGCGCGTACGCGCCGTTTCTTTGGACCGTTCTTTCGCGTTTTAGAGACATTCGACGTGTTCACTGGAGTGTTTTGTATTCGCGTGGCCGAAGCTTTAGTGTTTGTTTTGCGACTGATGTTCGCGCGTTCCCCGCGCTCTCGTTCCGAATGGTAGCCGTATCCGCAGTGTTTGCGGTTGTCGCGCGGACGGTTACTGGACAGAGGAGCTTGTCGATCGGAGTGGATCGTTCTCGCGAGCGTGCCCTTTTTTTATCGTCACTAGTGATGTAATGTAAGGTATTGAATAAAATTGAGGAAACTCTAAAAGCTTATTTTTGTATTCGATGAATATCACTGTCTATCTGTAAAATTCTAAAACAGAGCTCTACTTAATAATATTGTGAAGTTCGATTATTTATTACCGATTGTGAGATATCATTTTATTTCCCCAAAATGGTGTCGATCAATAAGCACAACAAGTGGTTCCATGTGGCTGGGTAGCGCTAGGAGTGTAAGGCGAAGTGACTGTCGCTTCGTTCGGTTCCGCTTGTCACGCACGCCGCTCGATGTAGCACTAATCGTTTCTGACTCAACTTTATTTATATAACATACATTAACGTCAACGATTCGCCCCTGAAGGGTGTTAGTATAATCGTTTCTAATAGACGCTTAAGAGAAGCAATGGTTACGCCGATTCATATCAATTATGTCCGTATAGTTTTAATAGTTCCAATTTGTAAGATTCTCACTATACCGAAGGACGCCAATTGCGTCTGTCTATACGAGGTCGGCTCGCCGCCGATCACCTCGGAATTAAGAGTTTAGAAAAAATTTTGCAAAGTTATCTATGTAAGCTTAACAAATCAGCTGAGTAATCGGTACCAGAATTCACTTCCGTCCTAATTCAGTGTGCATCATAGGAATCGAGCCATTTTATGTAACGCGCACTTTCCACATTTCCTAGTTAATGTAATGCCTTCCCCAGATTACATTAGAAGCGGGCGGCGCGCGCGCGCCAGCGCCGCCGCGCGGCTCTTCCCCACGTCACGCACGCGCTCGCGCGTGTTGCGCCGCCCTCAGTAGGACCTACATGTCTGATATTGCGAGCGGGCTGGTACTGCTTCGACATATGTTGCTCTTGCAGATTACATAACATTTTGACAATGTTAAAGATGTTTAATGTTCATTAGCAGTGTACAACCAATTCGGCTACTTGAAAGAGATCACTGTAATTAGCAATAAGATAATATTGATATACCTAAGAGATCGAACGTCCCTTACCGAGTAAGGTAGATATTATTGAAGTATTGTTTATTTTTCGATTGACATCTCTCTAGCTAGACAGAGGCACGGAGGCAATGCCGAGGAGTTGGACGCAAGCGCGTCCAGGTGGCATAGCCTCGTCATGACCGGTTCTGTGACAGAATTGTCTTTTCTAGCACAACAGACTCATGAACCATTAAACTTTTGTAATTTAACTTTGGAAGTGGTCAATTTTCTACTACTCTGTAAATATTGAGAGCTTATTGCCGGGTAGATCCCATACCGCACGTCGCAACACGTAATTTATCATAATATGTCTACTGTCTATTGATATCAGCGATACGTAATAAGCTTGAAGCAATAACGTTAACGTGTGCTCGATGAGAGGTTTCGCTTTTCATTACTTGTATGGAACATGTCACCAATTAGTTGTGTGCCGGTTGTTTTCATTCGTTTACATACAATGTGAAAAAGAAGTGCAAGACAATTCAACGTTTAAAGAGTCAGTGTATTGAAAACTAAAGAGACGCTTACCGTTTTGCACATATTTTGCAATAATTATGGTTACAAATAATGATTATGTAGATAATTTTATAATAAAAAGTGCGAGGAGTGTGTAAGTGAAGTTCCCCATCGCTTGCGCGCTCCGCGCCCCCGCCTTGTGCGGCCGCGCCTCCAGCGGCTCGCTCGTCTTGTGTTACTCGTACGTTCTCCTTGAGTTGTACCGAACACTAACTACGTTACGTAGAGTTCAGCAAGCCGTGCGGATCCATTCAAACACTTTCCTTTTATATGTAATATTATATTGCGCTTTGGAAGACTGATCGGATAAGATGATCTTGAATATTTGTTTTCATGTCCTTATTGACGTGTTTGTGAAATTAAAATCAAACACTCATAAACTTTAAGTTTAAGTATGAGTTAACTAGACAATATCGATACTTGGTTAGAGCTTACACTAGTTACCGACTGTTGACCGGTAGCTGTACTGTACGTAACAGATCTACTTGTCGACATTAAGATATTAAACTTAAATTACTAAAATATTATGATAAGCCAATAAGCATGCTAGCTAGATAATTTTATAAACGAGCTAGATGATTATTTGCTCTCATTATACATAAAAGAAATTGTAATGTAAAGAAATCAGAATTTATATGGATTAATGAAAGATTGTAACTTTAAACGGTCCATATACAGTTGATATATTATGTAGATAACTTCCCCCTAATGAAAAACAAATTAGTCTACATGTGACGAAATTCTGGTTTCTTTCCATATTTAGCGTATCAACAAAAGTGCATATTTGCAAAACTTAGTCGTGTGATAAACTAACTTACGTTGAGCTCCTTTTAGCGTTAGGTACGGGGTTCGGTTAGGTCCGCGCGGCTTGCACCAAATGCGAACATCCGACTGTCGTTATTTTGTTGGTGAAACCAAAGTTATATCTACTATTAGGCATATTTGCACAAAGAAGTTGTGTTTAATTAAGTTTAGACAATAAGTTATAATATCATTGTATTGTTTATTTTAACTATACTTATGACAAAAAAGTGAGTTCAGTTTGCGAATGATAGAGGTTTAATTGAGTATTTATTATATATATTGTTGAAGTTTGTACAAAATAAATTAAGTAAACGATAAAATATAGAACTTGACTGCTTTATATTTGTTGTTTTATTGATGTAACTCAGTGACTGCTTGTTGAGGATACAATCCAGTCCCGGAGAGCGGTGCCGGCCAGAGATTTTTGAACGGAGTTTATATAAATTTGCCATGCCCATTTGCCTCAACTGGGCATTTTGGTAACGAATTAGGTGAAATTGTGAGTATAAGGAACTTATTTACTTACAGGTTACTCGTCCAACATGTACGTTACTTTATTACTTTATGTGGGTCCGAAGATTACTGCTGGCAGAGAATGAGTTCGATGCAAAGCTATGCAGGCTATATATTACTTGACCACCACAAGAAATAAACAAATTGAAATATCTATTTGTCCTGAAATAGCTTTTGTAAAAAAAAGTAAGTTGTTACATCAAACTTTCAGCCTTTATAAAGGGAATATACCTTACTTAAATATAACATACATAGAGTATGCATAATTCATGCAAGGAGAAATAAAACGTCATTGTCTATTTTTATTTATGGTTTTTATTAATAATATACAAAACTTTCCTATACATTTTTTATAAATTACAAAATGTCATGAAGTTTTTGGATAAGTATACTATTATGTACCTAAGAACCTAACTAGCGTGGATAATATAATATTCATCTAGTCTTTAAACACTTGTATAATTTACACCTACTGATATAGAAAACATTCCGAATACGATGAAATCAATCCTGAAACAAAATTATCTTGATTAAACTTACAACTACGACCAATAACCGACTACGATAAATCATTTTATTGTTTTGGTTAATCTGTAATCCTGTCTCGCTTCTGTCGTCTAAACATTTTTATTGATAGATTTAAATTGTTATCCTAAATACTAGCCGTATTTCTTCTTGCAGGCCTAAGTTTGACTTTGGCTTATTGTTTACTCGTCTCTTATCTAAGTAAATACCTAAGGCAAGGCCGTTAGATATCACTAGATCTGTTGAATCACTTTAAACACCAACATTCAACACACAAAACTTTTTTATTGCAAACGAATGTTCTCCATGTTTGGAAACTATAACATTTCTAATTGAAGGCTTGATGTAATTCGGTGTTTAATGTGTGTTGCTAGTATGAGTAAAAGAAGAAGATGGTTCTGAAAAACATAATTAATTGCCTAAAATAGACAAGTAATGGGGTCTCCTTATTTATCAAATTATGCCGATTTCTCCCCTAAGTTACCCGAACACCACGTGCGGAAATTCCTTCGGTTACCCCACCGAAGAACCGGTGAGACGGTTATATCGGACTTGAACCGACTGAAAAACCGCACGCCGCGCCTTCCCGATTGCGTCGCGGCGCCACCCGGCCTTCGGCTCTGCATTCAGTCGCCAGGAGGGAATTGAGTCCCGCCTGTCACCACTGCGATTGCAGTGAGGACTCGGCTCAGCACACGCTGGCAATTTACCCGGCTTGGGCGCCGCAGCGCCGGGTTCTCATTGCAGTCATCGGGGGGGGCTCTCTCGCTACCGGCCGTCATACGCTCCATAGCCGGTAGTGACAGATGTTTCACCGCGGTCGCATCCTTCTGCGAAGATGTCATCTCGCAGAAGGAGGCGGCGGAGAGGGCCCGGGAGGACAACCTCCACTCGGACCCAATCCGTCTCCGTCGAACCGGGCAGCGGAGGCGCGTCTATTACCGCCTCATGCCGCCCTGAGTGTGGCCGCGGGTGGACGGGACGGGTTTTCCCCTCCACCCGCCATAACGGCCAGCCGCGAGGTGGTGATGTCCGCGTGTGCCGGACGTCGCCTAAATGGAGAATGTACCCGAAAATGGTGCCCGCGCCGTTGCGTGCAGGCGCTAGGAGGGGTCCGGATGTCTTAATAACAGCAGTTCCCGGATCCCTCCTATTACAGGCGCAGAGTGGCACACCGTGTGGTTTTAGTCGGTCCGATTCCGACACACCACCCCGCCGCAAACCCCGGTGGGGTGACGGCCCGAGGTGGTTTCCACACGTAAAAAAAAAAGAAGGGTAATATGTGTAGGTACTGGTATAACGTGATGTGAGAACATACCTATATTTCGGCAATTTTGATGTTTATATATAGCTAATTACCTCTTTTCTGTTTAGTTTAACTCAAATTTCAACAAGTTGAACTAAATGGACCGGGGTTATAATTATACTACTGAGAATAACCGTCGTGTCCATATAAATCCACCAGGGGATCACACTTAATAATGGGATAGCTGCGGACAAAAAATCCCCAGGGGATTTAAGCAGGGTATCCTAGTGGACTTTCTGTTTACAAAAACTTCCAAATAAATACCCTTGGGGATCAAAATGGATAAAAATTCCAAACAGATCCACCAGGCGATCGGTGTGGACAATAAATCCAAATAAAGCCCCCAGGGGATATTTGCAGGGGATGCGAAAACATTCATGGCAATACCAATCGCCACTATTTACAGACGTCTCTTTCGAATGCGTTTATTAGAACCACTAATAAATTTATTATTCATGCAAACTTACCATATTATGGCTAAGCTTTACTAGGTCTCGTTGGAGACGGGGCCAGGGCATCCCTACAACAAAAAATAAATTTCCTTTTATATATATTTATATATACGACGAATAGTTTTACAAAAACATTCAAAAATTGATTAATTACGGTATCATTATATAAGTCTACCCTTTTTCACCATCACCATCGGTTCGGTCATCATCGGTTCTTAGGCCTAGCGGACCGGGAGAGTAGTAAATGTATCCCGGCCTCACTCCGCCCTCCCCTTCGCTAGCATAACTTGCTCGCAGGAGTCTATTTTTGCTTGTATCTATATTTTCTTACTAACTACAAATAATATGGGTTAAAGTATGAAATTGCCGTTGCATAGTAATTTAAGACACTTTGAATTGACATAAAACCTTCATGTTGTGAGATTTTGGTGTAAATCTTTTTTCACATGATACCTATGAGGTTCTTCTTTTAAAAAAATTGCAGCATTCGATTTTCGACTTTCAATTGTTTTTTTTATTCAGCTTAGACGTGAAAGATGGGTACTTCGAAAATTGAAGTCATTTTTTAATACGAGTTCCGATGTGGAACGAAACGGCTCTCAAAGCCGCAACTTTCCACCATCTTTCCACACGGCAAAATTTTCATCCTCATCACCTGGATAGTTGGCGCTCCACTACTGTGCGCTTTTCGAGACACTTTTACGATACGACCTTCAAACCTTCAAGAAAAGCACGTACTCTTTCCTATAAGGCAGACGCAGACGTTCATGG